TCTATTGGGTGTTTAGATGTGGGCGTGAGTTTGCAGGGGCGGGGCTTGATTTTATGCAATAGCTGTTGATTGGATGTTTAGATGTGGGCGTGAGCTTGAAGGGGTGGGGCTTGATTTTATTTATCAGCTGTTGATTGGATGTTTAGATGTGGGCGTGAACTTTCAGGGGCGGGGCTTGATTTTATGCGTCAACTGTCTATTGGGTGTTTAGATGTGGGCGTGTGCTTGCAGGGGCGGGGCTTGATTTTATGCGTCAACTGTCTATTGGGTGTTTAGATGTGGGCGTGTGCTTGCAGGGGCGGGGCTTGATTTTATGCGTCAACTGTCTATTGGGTGTTTAGATGTGGGCGTGTGCTTGCAGGGGCGGGGCTTGATTTTATGCGTCAACTGTCTATTGGGTGGTTAGATGTGGGCGTGTGCTTGAAGGGGCGGAGCTCGATTTTATGCATCGCTATAGCGCTTTTCTTCCTCTTTACAACTAGTTATAGCATGAAGAAACATGCATGAACATCAGAAGGAATGTTGAAAGAGACAGTAGAACTTACTGAAATGAATCATGTCTCATGTAATCCCTCAATCAGTGTTTCAACCACGGAAAGACATCAATAACAGCTTGTGAATGTGGCCTGAAACAATGTGAGCTTTTTAAAATATATTATCTTATCTTTAGGCTCAGTTTTTCGTCTGTAAATCCACATTTTAAAGCTGATATTTCTTCCTTCACATCTTTGTCGACCTTTCTCAACCCTGATGAATTTGACACACGGAACATTAAACCACCAAAACTAAAATATGAGGAACTGAATCACAATTTCTTGATGTTTGTGCATCTGGTTCGGTTTCACTGACCATATGATGCTGTGAGAGAAAGTCACCTGTTGCTTGTTATTAAATAGAGGAATAACCAGCAGAGTGGGAATAATGCTGTTTTTAGACACTGGAAATCAAGCACGAGTAAAGATTTAAACTCCCCTGTAGTCAATCATTTTATCCCTTAAAACTCATCTTTGATCACCAAAATGACATATTTAAAAGCTTTTTCCTTGAAAAATATTATTCATGCCTTAAAATATCTTGAATGTAACTCGACACCCTTGCCTCATTTAGATGCGCGGTTCTATGAATATGCAAATGAGCCCCGCCTCCACTCACTCGCTCAGCTCAGAGATCCACTGGTTGACGATCACACGTTGATCTGATTGGTTACAAGGTCGTTTGTGACGTCAGAAACACCAGCGATTTCAAACCGTGTTTTTGAGACTGTCTTTGGTTCACTGCAGTTTTAAGCAGAAAATACTCAGCAATGCTGTCGACTTATGAATTTACACATGGTTTGTGTTAAAGCGTATTAAAAACACCACATAGACACATAAACAACATTAAAAGCTGGATTTTCACCACAGCTTGTTTCTCTTTCTCCA